AGAAATGTTCATCTACCATTGTCTGGTTAGCTTGGCCTGGAGGAAGGTCTCTAATGGCGTGGTTCTGCTTAGCATTTTTTTTTTCAATGACCTCGGTGAAGACAGCAGAGCTGCTTATCAAATTTAACATGACATAGCATAGAAGGAGAGCTGATATTTTGGATGAAAGGATATGAATTCAGAAGGCTCTCAGTGGGTGGGAAAAATAGACTGAAACTAGCAAGATAAAATTAATCAGGGCAATGGAGTCTTCCATTCAAGTGGAACATCCATTGTGTAAGTGTAAACCAGAGGAGACAACGAGTCAAGAAACCTTCTTGGGTCTTTTTTTCTCCTGGACTGACTGGGTTTTTTTTTCGGTTGGGTTTGTTTGTTTGTTTTCACTCATGATTTCAATATATGACCCTAAACCACACAAACACAGACACACATGTGCATGCACATATGCAAATAAGCTGCAGTAATTTGAAAAAGAGCAAGTTCTAAATCAAAGATGTAATAATTTCATTCTTAAGTGGATCACATCTTAAGTGTTTTCGGTTCTGAGTGCCATTCTTGGAGGATGCTGACAATCTAGAAAGCCCCCAGAGGGCCCCTACCACAGTGTGTGATGCTCAGTTAATAACTATTGGTTGAATGGATGGTGACTTGAATGGTTAGGGATGGTGCCCCAGGTCCTGGGAAGAACAGTTGAAGGAACTGGAAAGAGGGAACTTGAGGATAGCTTTCTTCAACTATTTGCAGAGCCCTTGAGAAGGAGACTAGATTTGTTTCCTGTTTTTCCAGAGCAGAGACCAAAAACACCAGTGACTGACTGGGTCAATTTAAGAAAGAATTTTCCAGGGCAGTTCTCCAATGGAATGGGCTGACACCGAGCTCTGTAAAGCTCCTAGGACAGTGGCTATCTACAGCAGTCCATTGATGCCAGAGGCCAGGGACCAGTATGAGGGGTGTTGTGGGAGGGATTCCTGCATTTGGGGTACTGCCGACTTAGTGGCCTTTCAGTCTCTCCCAGGGCTGAGCTGTTCCTTCCAGTAGGTCCAGGCCAGTGGTGCCTTGTCTTGCCAGCTTTGCAGAATCAACATTGCAAGGGAAACTATTACTTCAAAAAAAAAAAGTGTTTAGTGGGAACTTCTGAGGATACTGCCTCAAGTTAGGGAAAGCCCTTTAATTTAGGTCCTTTTTAAGCCTTACATTTTTTTCTCATCCTTTTGTCAATTGACCTCATAAATTATTCATAAAGGAATTAACCCCAAATAAGAGTTGTTCTAAAAATCTTTCCCAAGCCTTTCAATTTTGCTTTCTTGCAACAAATAATTATTTGAATATGACCTCTGGTCAGTTATATTATTATAAAACTAATAAGTAATCAGTTTTTGGAGTTATTTTTTAATTTAAGCAGGATTTCAGAAATCATAGGATCTGATGTGAAGGAACAGACATTTTCTATTCATCTTAGGTCAAGTCCCTCCATCTCTTGGAGCTCTCAAGCTTCCAACCTCTCTCTCTCCTCATCCTCTCGCCTCCCTAGCTGAGAAGAATGGAATCCAGGAACGACTTGGAAGTGTAGATTCAAGCCTACAGTCTAGAGGTGGTCCACAATGTAATATGAACCACAGACAGGCCTTCCGAGCGGGCAGAGACTGGAGTGGCCCCCTTAAACTGTGAATAGATTCGAGGGAGGCCTGCTGTCTGTGGGAGGGGGCTCTGTTGGGCTCTGTGGCCCCAGGTGAACTGGCCTGGGGAGCAGTGGCAGGTCTAGAAGACAGACTTGCTTGCCCTGCTTCCCTCTGTTCCTCCTGGGAGACTGTGTGGTAGGACAGCAGCTGGTGGTGTCCCCACATGGTCACCTTTTATTCTTGCGCCTCACACAGAAAATTGCCCTTCCTCTTTTGCCTTAAGCCCCCTTTTCTTCATCAAATGCCTGCTTTTCACCCACTGAGAGGAAGACAATAATGGTCTCATCTCAGATTCTTCAGCTAGGATGAGAAGTCCTGAGCTGAGCCCTGGTGTCACATTTCTTTGGTATGTTTTCTGGGAAAGTCTGAGTCTAGCTTTAGGCCACTTAATGTGGTATGTGATCTTGAGAAAGTAACTCAACCTCTCTGAGCCTCAGTCCCCGCGTGTGTCAGAGGGACCTTGCGGGGTCTGTGAGAGATCTTAGAGAATGGGAGCAACACCAAGCCTGGGGTCTGGCACCTGAAGGTGTTCAGTAAGTCATAGCCGCTGTCGTCGTTAGCCAGCATTAATTTATTCAGACGGTAATCAAGTTACCAGTTTTAACTCTTGAGTATTTTATTCTTATTCTTCAAGACTTTAACTGAGGAGGGAAGTCTACCCACCTTTATTTGATGAACTGTGTGCTTAGGACCCAGAAGATTGTGGGGAGAGTGTGCTAGACTTGCTCTCCTTTATTTGTAGTTATTCACCCTTGTCATTTGTTGGTAGCGGAGGGGAGCGGGCTCAGATTTGACTGAAAACCAATGATGGCGGAATAAACCTTCCTTTTCCAGAGTTGTCTTTTCTATTTTTAATATTTTCGTTGTTATCAAAGATGAAGAAACAGAAGCTAAAATACAATGTTAGGATTGCCGTTGACTTGATCCTGTGGGCGACAACTTCAAGAGGAGTGTCTGTCTTCCAGAGTTGTGGTGACACAGACTTTGTGCTCCTGGAATTCTCTGCCCTGAGAGAATTCGGTTACCTGGGCTTGTGGTGGAGTCAGAGAAGTTTTCTCACTGCCCTTTCAAGCCTGTTGAGTGCTCTTGACTGAGCTCTAGGTAATTTCCAGTCATTAATTCTAGAGCTGCTGCCCTCTGCCTCCCATTTAATTCCAGACTCTTGTGCCTGGGTCTCCAGGCCCCAGCTTCTCTCCTGGTCTCCTCCGCACTGTGTCCTCCTCTCTATCTGACCCCATCTTCTCACTCTCCATGCTTCCCTCTCCACGGTCCCCAAGCCCTGCATATGCCCATTGCAGAGCTTTTCTCAGGCCATCTCCCCCTTTTTCTCGAGCCACTGAGTCTGCCATCTTCAGGGTCAAGTCTACAGGAGGCTTGTTGCTCAACTGATTTTGAATGTTAGCTAATGACACTTGGTCTGTAGTGGTGGTTCTCAACCTTGGCTGCACGTTGGAATCACCTGGAAAGCTTTATAAAATACTCATACCTCGGTCCCATCCCCAGAAGTTCTGATTTAATTGCTCCTGGGCATCAGGATTTCTTAGCCCTCTCAAGTGATTCAATATGCAGCCAAGGCTGAGACCCGCTAGTCTACACACTCATCCAATCCCCCAGCTGAGTGGATTCTAATAATAGCTCTGTTTGTTCCCCAAGTGACTTGTATACCACAGTGATTTAAATAGCTCATGTGAGTATAAAAACATCAAAGTAGCTATCTCTGCTTGGTGTTAATTTGGTAGGTTTGGAAGAAGGAAATAGTACAGTTCTTTTTTTGAAAATTCGATTCCTAGTGTACCTTTGGGCTCGCCTGACAGCAGCAGCAGCAGCGGCAACAAGCTTTTACGGAGCTTACAGCACACGCCGGGCACTGCGCTAATACCTCCCAGGCTCTTCACATTCGTTAGCCCATCTTCACCTCACAACAAGCCCGTGAGTGAGCCTCTGTTTCTGCTCTCTCTGATTGGTGAGGATCCTGAGGTCCAGAGTGGCTCATTCACTTGCCCCCCAGGGCTGTGCAGAAGCAGTGCTAACCCCGAGCCCAGGCACCTCTGGTGCCCAAAGTTCCCTGTCCTCTGCCTCTGGGGAAGGAACAACTTATCCAAATAACAACCTGGAAAATAAGGATGAACCCACTTGAGCTCTGGGGTTGAACTCTTTTCAAATTGAGTTGCACTCTTTTGTGTATCAAGAGCGTCCATCAGTTTGATTTCAGATTCACTTCCAAGTCGCCCAGATATATCCAGGACTGGAAGGCCATTCCATGAAGTCATTTTCTTCCTGCACTCAGGAGACAGTACTTTAGAAAAGCATCTTGCTTTTAGCAGCAAACCTAGCAGAACCTAACCTATCTCTTACTTAGTCTTCCTAGTACCTCTCTGAGGTGGTGAAGAGGCTATGCTGTCCCCATCTTGCAGAAAGGGGAACTGGTCTGCCAAGTATTAATTATCTGGTAAATATTAGTAATAGCTACCACTAATAGAGTCATTACTAAGTGCTGGGCTCTGTGCTGAGCATCCTTGTGTAAAGCATCCTGTGTTGTTATCTACGTTTTACGGCTGAGGAAACCAAGACCAAAAAAGATGGCGCTGCTTGCCCAGGGTGGTACAGCAAGTATTTGGGCGCCATGTTTGTTTGCTTGTTTGTTTTTTAACCTCCTTATGAGCAAAACTCCAGACATGGGCTTCATTTGCTCTCTTGCCTTGGCCTGGCCTGTCTTCGCTGTGTGTGCAGTGGCATCTGGACAACCATGTCCCAAATAGACCATTGAAGCACAGACTGGATTTTCTTTCTGTGTCACATGTGTGAAACAAAGAATCTTCTGCCAGCCTTGACTATCATACTGAGGTCAAATATTCCTTCTCCAGCCATTCCAGTACGAGGCTGCTTTGGTCTAAACACCACGGAAGGTGAGAACTGGCTCTTGGAGCAGTTGCCCACTCCATCCATCTTGGAGCTCTGCTGTTTCTCGCAGTTTCGGGTTAATGATAAGAACCTGTCTCTGCTGCTGGGGCACTTCATTATTGCACAGACACTCAATGCTTGGGACGGAAACCCAAATCCCCTTCTCGCCAATTATGAATATATCAACTTATTTTCTCCCTCCTCAAGCATATAAAGACTTGGTATTTTCTGGTGTTAAAATATGTATACACACACACACACACTTCTGTAGGGAAGATAACTCTATATAAAGACAGAGAGTGGTGTGCAGTGAGTGGATGGAGTCTCAGGGAAAATAAAGTACCTCGCAGACTGTGTCAGGGCACTGGGTCACTAATTGAGTACAAACCTTTTTTTGAAATGTTGTTTGTCCCCCTACAGGGCATACAAAATCATTGAGGATGATGACCTGAAGTTCCCCCTTATATATGGAGAAGGCAAGAAGGTAGGCACGTGCACTTCCCCAGGGCCAGAGAGAGCAAGGCTCAGTCTCCCCAGAGCCCGTGGTGATCTGTGTGTTCCACTCAATGGCTCATGACTTTATAGCCTTGACAGCTTGAAAGAATATCACCTCCATCATCTTTCAAGCCTCCTGTCTTAAGGGTCCCAGGAGTGGCAGGGGTGGGGGTGGGGGTGGTGAGCAAGGGGCCAAAGTCAATTTTGTAAAAATAACATCCACCTTCTCAATTCATTTGGATAACTTTTTTACAGTGTTTACACATGACCACTTTCACATACGTCATCTCCTTGCATGTCTGACAACAAGCCACGAGGCAGGCAGAGCTGGTGTATTATGTCCATTTGGTAGATAAGGCCGCTGGGACTGCGAGGTTAAAACTGCTCAGGCAAAGTCACAGAGCCAGCAAGAGGCGGTGCCAGGTGTGCAGCCTGGGCCCTCTGCCTCCTGGGGCTCTTGTGCTCCACCAGGGAAGTTCAGACTTTGCAAGTCGGCTTCTCCACTAGCCCTTTGGAAGGGATTCAGAGCCTCTCTGTGATTAAGCTATAGGATCCCATGGACCAGAGCCCAGGCTGAGACAGCAAAGACCATCCATCACCAGCTCCCAGAGCCCCAGTCAGAATCAAACGCTGAGCAGCAGACACGTTGCTGAACCGAAGGAAGGCTGTCCGTCTTAAAGTGGTCTCTGAGCAGAGACTGGAGGAGGCCGCAGTCCTGGAGCGGCAATGAGGAAGCTCTGAAGCCATTTCCCAATAAGAACAAACCCCTTCTGAATCATTGCATTCTCCCTAGAACACAAGTACCTTTCAGCTGGGTGCTAAGAGTTCCAATTAAAAGTGAAAAGTGGTCACATTAAGAAGAATCTTCAAATGAAATTTTTCTCAGCATTTGATAGTTTTTATCAGGAAGAAGTAAACCAAAGGATGCCTTTGGGCAGAACTTGAGTGTGTGTGTGTGTGTGTGTTTGTGCGTGCGTGCACATGTGTATCTGCATGTACAGTGTGAGAGAGCACACAGGATTACATTTTGGGCTCAGTGTAGCCCCAGCAGTGATTTCAATGGAAGGAGGCATTTCACGGAAGGAAATGAAACACGAACGTCAGATCCATATAGGGATCATTTTTCAAACTAACTTGCCCTGTCCTGGAGATGGACACCTTCCTCCTCACCGTCCCTGGCTGAGAATCACGACAGGGAAGGGCTCTTAGGATTGTGTATGCTTCCAGTACGGTGGGACCCATTAGTGTAGGTCAACTCGTCAGTGACCTGCGCCTGCAGCTGCGGGTCTTGTGGGGCCGAGATTCTCATGATTCCTCCGCTGCACCCAGGGAGCTCTGGTCAGCTCAGGACCACGTCCTGTTACCTCTGTGTCCCGAGCATGTGTCTCGCCTGGTACCTGACTCACGGCAGGCCTTCACTAAATGCATAAGTGTTAAACACACTATTCAGTTATGTTCAGGCTGCTGTCCTTAGGGCAACAGGGAAGTGGACAAATATGTGCCTCGGAGATGATCAGCGATAAGATTTAAAGGAGCAAGGGTCTCCCAGTTAGGCAAAACGTTCAATTCACCGGGACATCCTGTTCCTCAGGCACTTCAGTGAATGAGGGCTTTGACAGTTCTGGGAGAGGCAGCTGACGAGTTGTGTCACTGCACCTGTTGACTATTTAAAAGCCGCTGTGGCTCTAGTCCACTCCAGGCTCGCCCTGTAGCAAGGCAGCGCACCAGCCCTGTCTGAGGACTCGGTGATTTCCTGAGAAATCTTGACACCTGCAGCCCATCACGTCTGTCTAGCTCCGCTACAGGGGTTTTCTCTTTCCTCTCTGCATACACCCACTCAGAAGTTTCGGAACACTTCACAGCCCTTAACTTTTCATTTTTTTCTGCCAATGCTTTTAAGCACTTGTGTGGGTAACACCTATATACTTTGTAAACAAGTTCAGCAACTAGCAGAAACATCAGATTTCTTTGGTCTAAAACGCCCACCTGTGCTTTTTCCAGCCAGACAGGGTCCCGGAGCAGGGAGGAACACAGAAGGGCCGCAGGGGACTCAGAATTGTCGCATTTAGAGTCAAACACTTCTCGGCTGGAAGGGAGCTGCTGCAGCCTCCCAGTGGAGCAGAGGGTTTCCGCAGCCCACCTGACAGAGGTCTCCAGGCTTCACATCACATGTCTGCATTTCACCCTCTTTGACTCTTGCCTTTAAAAAATGCGGCATGGTTTCATTTCTATTTTAATGTAAACCTTCTCACCTTCTGATCTGAAACCAGCTCCAAAGTCCACAGCCTTTTGGGGAAACTAGGATGAAGATGGTGGTGGTACGTTAGATTGTCATGTTTCTTAGCATTTACAAGCTATTCAAGCAATAGAGTGAGGATTCAAGCTCGAGTCTTTGAACCATGACGCTCCACTGGATGTATTATTGATGATCCAGGTGTTAGGCTGTTGGGCTTCATTCCACCCAGGATGACTGACTCCATCCCTGTGTGTTTACCTGTCTTGATGCTGCTCCTCCTTCTGCACAAAAATTTAGTGGCATTTCCTCCAGGGAACCTTCTCAGCAGAATTTTTACCTCCTCTCAACTCAGAACCCATTGTTTATGTGTCTTTCAGCACTTGGCTATGTTTTATATATTGTTGAACGTACCTCTTCTCTCCCTTACCAAGTTCCTTTATAATAGGGACAACGCCTTAGACATTTGTCCCCCACAGCATGGTGTCTGCACATGGTAGGCGCTCAGTGAATGTTTGGTGAATCAGGTCTGTGGCATTCCTGTAGATATTCAGGCTGACTGAGCAGGCGTTAGTGTAATAGTATTGTTTCCTTAAAGTGTTCAGAAAACCCTTTAGAGAAAGCGTGCAGGTGGTGAGGTCTCAGCCCCAAGGTCTCTGTGGAGTCTCCAGCCATAAAGTATAATATATGAGCTTTGGGAGGGCAGGAGCTGCTCTATTTTACATCTTTTAATAATGACCATCAAGGGACTAGAGACATAGCTGATGTTCAGCAAATACTTGTAGAGTGGGTGTGTGGCAGAAGGATGGATGGATGGATGGATGGATGGATGGGTGGATGGATGGATCCTGTTGGATGTGCTTTGAACTGATTTCAGTAGCTGTAACATCACGCGTGTATTGCATTTAAAAGTTTATTGGATACCCTTCCCTCAAGTCTTGATGAAAGCAAGCGAAAAGAGACAGCCGCAGCCCATTAAACTTAAGATGATGGGTAGAATAACCACTCCTCAAGTATGCACGTGATTCTGGTGAGCCCTTCCTTGGAAACAACTACCCACATGAGTTAGCAGCAAGGGGCATGGAGAGGGGCAGGAGGAATTGGAAAATTATTGCTTCTCTCTTAGCCCATGGCACCTATGTTGGGACGGGAATGCTTTCTCTGTATGTGAGTGTTTCTGATGACCTTTTGCTTATACTCCTAGGCGCGAGTAATGGCAACTATTGGAGTGACCAGGGGACTTGGGGACCATGACCTGAAGGTGCATGACTCCAACATCTACATAAAGCCATTCCTGTCTTCAGCTCCAGAGGTACACGTGAGGTTTTGTTTCTATTTTGTACAATAAAATTCTTTCTAGATTATTCCTCCCATGACTCACACCCCATATCCAGACAGTAGCTAGCTGGTGTCACTTGTACTTCTGCAGTGTCTCTCATGTCTGTTTCTTTTTCCCACTCCATTCTCACTTTCTATCCTGATTCATCCCCTCATCACCTCCTGCCCAGATAGCTGCACAGCCCCCTGGTGGCATCCCCTGCCTCCTCCTTCCCTCCCCCATATGGCTCTCAGGCAGATTTTCCTAAACAACTCCTCTGGCTCCTGTTTGCTCAGAAAACTTCAACATCAGCCCATGGTTTGGAGAATAAAGCCCAGACTCCTTGCTTGGCATTCATGCCTTGTTATAATTTGGTCTACCTTTCTCATCTGATCTTTTTTCCCCTGCAATAGCCAGAATGAACTTGCTATTTCCTGTATATGACCTTCAGTTTCCCATATTTGCTTAGAATATTCCTTCTGCCTAGAAGGCCCTACCTCCCCGTCTCCAAAAATCCGGATTCTTTTTTTTGTCTAGTTGAGCTTAAACACTTCTCCTGTGGAGACTTCCCTGATTTCCTCCCCCTCCTCCGACTGGAAGTAAGTCTCTTCTCCAGATAGGCGTAGAGTGACGGTGTCTTACGATGTTTCCACTTTCTGCCTTATAACATAGTTGTTCATGTATATACCTTATCTCCGCTTAGATTTTAGTTACCTGGAGAGCTTGTGTCTTTCAGTTGATATTTGGAGAAATTAATTTAAAAACAAGTTGGTCATATATTTGGTTAAAAAAATCATGTTTCTTATAGGAAACAATATCAGGTTCTATTTCAAGGTAGATCATTTAGAAAAGAGTTTGCTTCTAAGTTATAGAAAAACCTAACCAATAGTAGTTTAGGGGTAGATTTTTCTCACATAACAAGGAGGCTGGAATTTGGCAGCTGCTCGTGTTGGTGCAGCGCCCCCAGTGCGCCAGGGCTGCCATCCTTGCTTCTCTGACTTTCCCTTCCTGGTTTCAAGATGTGGCAGCAGCTCCAAGTGTAACATTGTCATGCAAGGCGGGGAGGAGGGGACAGCCTGTCAGTCCCAACAGATATTCACTCGCTTCTCATTGGTCAGAACTGTGTCACATGACCTCCCCTAGTGCAAGGGAGGTTGGGAGAGAGAAAGGCCTTTAACTTTTCCAATATCTATAGTAGAGGAGAGCCAGGGAGGGGTGAGTCGGGCACCAAGGATGTTTGCACGTAACTGTGTAATTAACTGTTAAGGCAATACCTTGCACTGGAAATGCCCAGAAGGTTTAGACATCGCTCCATCTGCATGTTCTTCCCAAGGGTAGGTGCTGTTTTATGAATGCTTTTTTCATTGGAGGAAACGGAAACTTACTCAAGCTAACTCAGAAAAAGGAGGTGTTTATTTTAATAATATTGGAAGAGATGTTTATGGTGTCCACAGGAAGAACCCTTGAATAGCCAGGCTTTATGGGAGGGTGGTTCTGGAATCCAGGCAGCCCTAGAGAGCCCCAGCAGTGGGAGTCTGTCACCTTCATGAGGGTATTCTGCCATTAATGTGGCCAGCCATGTTCTGTATGTCTCTGCCACCAGTCAACCCAGTTTCTCATTCTCCCAATTCCAGTAGACCGGAAAGGAATCTCATTGGCCCAACTCACCTTTTATACTTGGCCACGAGTGACTTCCCAGCCTGTATAAAGATTGCCCCTGCAGATTGTGTGTCCAGTCCGGAGCCACTGATGGGCACAGTCACCTAGGCCCACGCCTTGGGCAGGGCTGTGAGCCGGGGTAGTTTCTTTAGAGTCCTTTGTTGCTGAGGCTGGCATCCAAAACACATCTAGCCACAGGAGGTTAAGGGGCCACTGAGAGAGAAATCTCCAGTAAATGTCGGGCATGAAAGACACACATTTCCTGGCACCACCCAGGATTTCAAGTGAGATCAGCTTGGTGGAAATAATAATTACCATTCGTCAAGAGCCTGCCCATGTCTCTCTTTTAGCCCCATAACAATTCTGCATGATGAGGACCATTACTAAATCAGGTGTCCACGATCCCCCAGAAGCTGGTGGATCCCTGGTCCCTCTATTCTGACCAACATCAGGATCCATGAATTACTGCTGAAACAACTCCTGGCCAGAGAAAACCAATAAGTATTAGACTCACGGACTTCTATATCTTCCCCCTGGGGAGAGAGGCATTTATCAGACATATTGAATGGTGCCATCACCTTTCTACTTTCCAAAAGGGACAGATGGTCCTCAGGAAACACTAATTAACCATTTTGCTTCTTAAAGCAGAGCAAAAACCTGATCACCCCTACCCCCATACACACACATGTAGGCTTTCTAGATAGAGTGAGAAGAAGTTTGGTTTGGTTTGAAGGAGAATGATCTCTGTGCAGTTAGATTATTGACCTTCCAATCGCTCTGCTACCGTGGATCCCAAGAAGAGACTGTAGGTTTCAGACTGGCGCCTGGGGGGGAGACTGATGAAAAATCCTGCTGCTTGATCAGAACCTCACGGCACCTATTCTGGTCTGCAGGGAAGTGGGTTGGTTGGCTCAGCGTTGGTGAGTGACGGGGAGGATTGAAAAGAAAACTGGCAACCTCTGGGAAAGTTAAGTGCTCTTAGAAGAGTTGTAGAGTTGAATCAAGTGTGGAGTTTTTGTAATAACAATAAAAAGTAACATTTATTAACTACCTAGTCTGGGCCAGACAAGATAATATTTTTTTACACGCAGCATCTCATTTAATCCTCACAGCAGCCCTTGAGGTCTGTATGATGATTATACGCATTTTACAGATTGGGAAACTGAGACCCAGGGATGTGAAATCATTCCCCGAGGTTGTACAGTAATTAAGTAGCAAGATGGTCCTTGTACCCAGGTCTGCCTAACTCGATCAGGGTATAAGTGGAGAGAAGCCGAGTTCAAAGAAATATCTTTGGACAGTGTCCAAGGGGCCCACCGAGTACTGGATCGAGGGGCTCTGAAGAAAGCACCTTTACCTTGGGACGTCAGAGGCCAGAGTTTCTCAGAGAAATACTGCCAGCCTCAGACTGAAGTTGTCCAACATGATGATGTCGTAGAAAACTAACTGGGAAAGATACCCGTGGTCTTTCGTGTATGCCAACCCAGGCTAGACAGAATTGTGCAAAAGAAGATTGTGCACCTATAATTTAGCTTAATGGGTATGTAGTGTAGATCCCAAGATTCCTTTGCACGGGATTAACATTATCGTCCATTTTAAATGCTTCCAGATGGAGAGGCCTTAGCTGGAGCCAGGAAAGGGGGAGCACATTAGAGGGAAGAGGAGGAGCAGCTTGAATTGACTACTAGGGAGGGGCGCAGGGGAAAGAAGATGGGGCCAGGGACCGCTCATCTTGAGGCAGAAATGCCTTTTCCCTGGGTGGCAGTGATAAAGTCAAACCCTAGAGAAACAGCTAAGGGACTTCTGTTGGGAGCCTAGAAAGCCAAGTAGATTTATTTAAACCATCTAAGGAAGCATAACTGTCTCCCTTCCTGTCTTCGGTCCCCCACCCCCACCCCAAGCCTGCCCTGGCTTCTAACTGTGGCTTCCTAAGAACAGTCCCCTGCTATGCTTTGTCTTGGCCAAGCACGGATCTTTATTTCACATTTGGTTTCTACATTTCAAGCCCAGCTCAGTCTGGTAGTTTTAATGGTCATGGGGTGGGAGTGTGGGGGGAATGTGATTTTGTTCTGAGAAAAAAGGCTCAAAAATCTTCTTGGAAATCAGCATTGTTCCCATTCATCATTGCAGCTCCTAATTCGATTTGATGAGTTAAATAAAAATAAATCAAAAACATGTGGATCACATTTACGTGAAAAACGCACAGGGGTTTAAAAATTAGAGAAGGGTTTCTAGCCAAACACATTTTCAGTTTCGCTGAACACAAGGCACTGGAAAAATCTCAAGTTTGCCAAACCCCAAGAGCAGCCGCCAGGTTTGCTGAGCCCCCTCATATCTTCTGAGGTCTAAGGCAGGGATTTCCGGCCAAGAACTGAATTCCACAAGAGGCCCCGCTGAGCGTGGGCCTGGTGGTGGGGGAGGCGTTTTGACTGTTTCCTGGTCCCAGCCCCTCGTGTCCTCCATGTAACAGCGTGAGATGCAGCCTCTCCCCATGCAAGGGAGACAGCGCCAGCCAGGGCTCCCATCATCTTGCTCGATGAAGCTCATCACCGTTCCCCTTTTTTATAGTACTGTAAGAGAGTTCAAGTGGAGAGGGAAAGGATTTGTGAACTCAGGCGCTGGGGCCCAGACCCTCTGCATCGCCTTTTCCAGCAGTCCCCGCCCCGTCCAGCACACACATCAGGTCGAATTACTCACGCAACTTGGCCCAGGCCTGCAGCCTGAACCTCCAGATGTTCTCCGCTCCGCGCCCCTTTCTGGCTTGTGACAGGCCCTCCCTAGAGCTAGGATTCCTCTAATGTCACTCTAGCTGTCTGGGATCCACTCCAACACTGTGTTGTTGCCTTTAGCCCCCTTTTGGGCTCTTGGAAGAACGAGGTCTTTTTCTATATGGGGGCAAGTTTGCAAGGCCAACCCCCTCCTCGACTCAGCAGTTCCCCCGCCCCATCCAGACTGAACCACAAGGAGCCCAGTTCTCTCTCAGCTTCATTTTTCCTCTCCTTGGTGTTCAAGATTCCTATCAGCTGCTTTTTTGTGGGTTTTTTTTTTGGTGAGGAAGAGTAGCCCTGAGCTAACATCTGTTGTCAATCCTCTTTTTGCTGAGGAAGATTGGCCCTGGGCTAACATCAGTGCCCATCTTGCTCTACTTTGTACGTGGGACACCTGCCACAGCATGGCTTGTTAAGTGGTGTGTAGGGCCGTGCCTAGGATCTAAACCTGTGAACCCTGGGCCACCAAAGCGGAGCGCACAGACTTAAGCACTGTGCTACTGGGCTGGCTCCTGTTTGTTTGTTTGTTTGTTTTTAACTCCAGCTACCTCAATTTGCTGATTCTCA